CACCACCAGCCCCTCAGTGCTGGCTGATGAAACCCAAGCAAAGTCAGTATGTAAATGTCATTGCCAAGCTGTCCTGGCCTAACCTTGCTCTACGTTTCTGGGCTGAACACACTGGGGGAAATCAAACAACTCCATTTTGTAGGCATTTCTGGCTGGGACCACTACTTAAACAGTCCTGACAGCCATAGCATGGACATTTTTTAAAGGAAGGGTTGTTTTTTCTCCTATTGAAGCAAGATGGATGAAATCCTAATGGCAAGACTACAGAATGTACCAAATTCAGGAAAAGATAAGAAACAAACATCAGCTCAGCTGGTGTGAGCAGCAGAGTCCTTACCAGACTGTGCCTGTGGTGTTCTCCATCTGCACCCTCCAAGGCTGGGATTCATAAATCGCCTCCCCATTGGTGTCCAGCCACCTCCCAAGGGCCAGGAGTCTTTCTTGGAAGATGGGGACAATCACCCCTTCTTTTGTAGGTCCCACATTGAGGAGGTAGTTGCCACCCAAACTCACAGTCTGCACCAGCTCCTGTGGCAGGTAAAACAAGGAAACAAACTGCATTATCTTCACCTCAGACAACACAAAAACTGAGGAGTTTTATCCTCATCAGCTGCTCCAGAAGCTTCTAATTCTCAGTAACCCTCCCCCAGGCTATTTTGATTTCAGGTTTCTCACCTCAATCATACTCATTTCATCCATCACCTCAGCGAGGCTCATGTTGCTGCGGTAGCCCCAGGAGAGCTTGTCCAGGGAGGAGCACATCTCCCACTTGTGATCTGGCAGGGTGCCTGGTCTGTACTTGTCAGCACAGTTGTAGAAACCCCCATGGTGGCAGGAGCAGCCCCGACCCCAGCGATCGTTGACAACCACGGTGTCCTGAGAGAAGGAAAGCAGCTCAGGGGACAGAACCTTTTGTTCTTGGGCTGTCCAGCTGCCTGTCACTCCCCTGAGGAAGCACCTAAAAATTCCCTGTGTAATGGAAACCCTTCTGAGAAGGCTGAATCCCTCCCTCTGCTCACTCAGCTAGGAGCTGAAGCAACAAAGCTCCTGGCCTGAGCCTCCCACGAGGATCCTGCAAAGGACAGTGGAGCTGTCACAGCAGCACAGCCAAGGTTCTCTTTTTGTCAGAGAATAAAACACATCTGGCAAATGTCAAGCAGGTTTCTGGTTTGATCACACATCCCACAGCTTCCTGCCCTTCCACACCCACCCAATGCCACGAGGGCAGCAGGCACCGGTACCTTGACAGGGCTGTCGTTATAGAGCCAGGCAAGGAAAGAGGTGGAATTCCAGTAGGAATCCGGAGCTTCCCAGTCTCCATCTGACCAAATCAGATCTGGTTTGTATCTAAGAGAGATAGGTGTTGTTTCAAAATTGCTTATTAGCTCCTGCCATGCTGTGTTTCTTGGGTGTGGGGTTGTTTCACCTTCCCTTCCCAGTGCCTGACATCACCAGGAGGTTTTTGCTTCATTTTCTGCTTCACACAAAGCTCTAAGGGAGGTTCTTGCAGCAGCAAAGAACAAGGTGTTGATCCACAGCTCAAGAGAGGGTGCAGTTCTTCCAAAAAATCCAGAATTTGGCACCTCAAAGGCAATTATGAGGCACACTCTTGAGCTGGGACAACAACCCACAAGCCCAAGTTTTGTATTTTTGTCAGCAAGGGGAAGCAAGGCAAGGATGCAAATTCACAGTGAAATCACTCTTCTATTCTACTAAATACTGAGCAGTTTGTTCCACTTCCAGCCACCCTGCACAAAGGCAGGATTAAAGGGAATTGCTTTTGCAGG